ATTTCTTTTTTTTTGTATTTTTCTATTCTGGGACTAAAAATGAAGAACAACAATAGAAAAGAAGAAGAATCTTTAGAACCCTAATTTTCCTCTCTCAATTTTCTCTCCGAAAATTTCTTTGAAAAATCCTCCCCCCCTCTCTAAAAATATCATTCCTCTTATATAGGCCTTCAGGTATTCTCGAACCTTCTGCCCTCCTCTCCAAGAAATCTCCAAAAAAAAATTCCAAAACGAATCTGATTTTTACCCCTCTTTTGATGAAAAAACAGACAAATGGAAGGAGTGGATTAATTGAATTCAATCCAACGCCCCCCATTTTCCCTAATTTCGATCTAGAGGAGTAAAAATCTGAAAAAACCAAAGAAATGGTATGTGAGGAATGGAATCTGTCAGAAACAGTTATGCCACGTTTGAGAGAGATGAAAGGAGGGGCCATGCGACGAGTTTAGAGATGAACTCGTCTGAAACTCAGATGAGTTTGGGCTGAGCTTGGCGAGGCAGAATCAGAGTTGGAGGGGGTGGACGCCGTTTCTTGGTCTTTAGGTTTAAGGTTTGTTTTGGGGGAAATATTATAATGGGGTTTATATATTAAGGGGTAGTGGGGCGGGTCGAACCAGCTGCTGGGCAGGTTTAAAGGTATTTTGGGATTGGGTGAGGGGCTTGGTAAGGGGTGGAATTTGGGCTTGACATCAAGTTTGGCCCAATTTTAATTTAAAGACCAGCCATTTCTATTTCTTTCTTTCTTTTATTTTTTTAATTAAATAAAAACCTAAATTAAATTCCTAATTTTAATTTAAATTATAAAATCAAGCTAATTATCTAACTATAAAATTTATAAAAATTAATTGATCGTAAATTAAAAGAGAGAAATTAATAATCCAAGATTAAAAGCTAAGAATGTAAAAAAAATGAGCCATTTTTTTGTGATTTTCATTTTTAATAAAGCAATTAATTAATCCTAAAATGTGAACACAAAATCTAAATGCAATGCATGGTATTTTTTTGTATTTTTCATGATTTTAATAAAAATAAACATGCACAGAAATGTAAATAATTAACACAAATTCCTACAAAAATCCTATAAAATTGAAAATAACTGGGAAAACTTTATTTCTTTAATTTTTAGGAGTATTTATCATAGGGAAAAAATCACTTGCTCACATTATCAAGTGCTGAAGTTTTTAGAAATGAACTAAATAACTTCAGCATCTTCTGCTGTAGTTTTTTGAAAAAGCTTTACGACAAAACTATTGAATCCATGACAAAAACTTCAGCTTATTAAGTGCTGGAGTTTTTAGAAATAAACTAAATAACATCAGCACCTTCTGCTGAAGTTTTTTGAAAAAGCTTTACGATAAAACTATTGAATCCAGGACAAAAATTTCAGCTTATTATTTGCTGAAGTTTTTAGAAATGAACTAAATAACTTCAGCACCTTCTGCTGAAGTTTTTGAAAAAGCTTTACGATAAAACTATTGAATCCAGGACAAAAATTTCAGCTTATTATTTGCTGAAGTTTTTAGAAATGAACTAAATAACTTCAGCACCTTCTGCTGAAGTTTTTGAAAAAGCTTTACGACAAAAACTTCAGCATGTTTTGGTATTTTTGTTTAACTTGATACTTATCTTTTTTGCATTTACTAGCTACGTTTTTGTCTTTTTTCACCTACTTCATCTTTCATTTAAATTTCTCTGACCATATAGTAAATGATCCGAAAAGTTACTTTTGTATTTACATTGATTATGTGAAAACTTTTGAGGCTGAAGTTATTTTTTACTATAGAAAAACTGTGGCCTTATTTTTACTATTTTTTTGCATTTACCACCCACTTGTTTTACCACCTACTTATCTTGTTACATTCAATTTCTTTGAACGTAAAATAGTTAACAGACCTGAAAAGTTACTTTTATATTTATAGATATTAAATTGATTAGATGCACTCTTTGGATATATTAACAATCTCTTCACTTGAAAATTTCATAGTCATCCATAGACTTCTCTCATATTTCTTTAAATTTATATTCAAAGAAAAACAAGAAAATGCTGGCAAAGACATGCTTATTGGGTATAGCAGGGAGTTCATGGGAAGCAAAGATAATGAAGGAAAAGTCCAAATACTTCATATGTGAAGGAGAGCGGCCACAGTTTGTGGTGCATCACAAACTCGAGCTCTGGGACATTTTGCTCTTGGTGTTGGGCACAACATAAATGATAGATTTATCAACTAGTAAAAATAGCAAAATGTCCTGGAGCTCGAGTTTTTGATGCACCACAAATGTGGCCACTCTCCATCACATATGAAGTACTTTAGACTTCTTTTTCATTATCTTTGCTTCTCACGAATTCCCAGTTGCACACCAGTAAGCATGTCTTTGCCAACATTTTCTTATTTTTTCTTATGAAATAAGATGGCAGTTCCTAAAAAAATCATAGTAGTAAAGTTTAGTTGGAAGGGAATTTTAGAGTCTTATAACCAAAGACATGCATTGGTATTCAACAGAATTGACTGCAAATCTTTGGACTCACGGAAAGTGGTAACAAGATAGCGGTTATGAAACTCCAGAAGAGCAACTAGGACATGACTATGGAGAATATGATGACACTCTATGAATTTTTTGAATAGAGAATAACTTGTAAACAAAAAATAAATTTTTTCTTTTTTTTTTCAAGGATGTAAGTGAAAACAAAATTGGATTTTGCGAATATACATTAATTTGTGTGAATTATGTGATGCCTGTCTTTTAAATTTTTGTTCTATTTACATTAATTAGTTTTTTAGTTGACTTGGGTTGAATCAAATATGTTTGTGTCTTTTTTCATGAATTTTAAGTATATTTTTGTTGAAATCCAGCATGCTAATGAGGTAAATAACTTCTGCTATTTTAGGCTGAAGTTTTGGTTAAAACTCATAACAAAGTGTCGACTGTAGGACAAAAACTTTAGCTTATTAAGTGCTGAATTTTTTAGAAATGCACAAAATAACTTCAGCACCTTATGTTGAAGTTTTTGAAAAATCTTTACTACAAAACTATTGAATGCAGGACAAAAACTTCAGCTTATCAAGTACTGAAATTTTAGAAATGAACTAAATAACTTCAGCATCTTCCGCTGAAGTTTTTTGAAAAAGCTTTACGACAAAACTATTGAATCCAGGACAAAAACTTCAGTTTATTATGTGCTGAAGTTTTAGAAATGAACTAAATAACTTCAGCACCTTCTGCTGAAGTTTTTGAAAAAGCTTTACGACAAAACTATTGAATCCAGGACAAAAAACTTCAGCTTATTAAGTGTTGATGTTTTTAGAAATGAACTAAATAACTTCAGCACCTTTTGCTGAAGTTTTTGAAAAAGCTTTACGACAAAACTATTGAATCCAGGACAAAAAACTTCAGCTTATTAAGTGCTGAAGTTTTAAGAAATGAACTAAGAAACTTCAGCATCTTCTGATGAAGTTTTTGAAAAAGCTTTACGACAAAACTATTGAATCCAGGACAAAAAACTTCAGCTTATTATGTGCTGAAGTTTTTAGAAATGAACTAAATAACTTCAGCACCTTCTGCTGAAGTTTTTGAAAAAGCTCATGACAAAAATTTCAGCATGTTTTGGTATTTTTTTTGATACTTATCTTTTTTGCATTTACTTGCTACTTTTGGTCTTTTATCACCTACTTCATCTTTCATTTAAATTTGTTTGACCATACAGTAAATTACCCGAAAAGTTACTTTTGCACTTACATTGATTATGTGAAAATTTTTCAGGCTGAAGTTATTTTTTTATTATAGAAAAATTGTGGGCTGATTAGGGCTGAAGTTACATTTCTTTTTGCATTTACCACCTACTTGTTTTATCACCTACTTATCTTGTTTCATTCAATTTCTCTGAACGTAAAACAGTAAAAAGACCTAAAAAGTTACTTTTACATTTATAGATAATAAATTGATTAGGTGCACTCTTTGGCTATATTAACAATCTCTTCACTTGAAAATTTCATAGTCATTCATAGATTTCCATCATATTTCTTTAAATTTATATTAATCCTTAGCCTTTTAGCTTTTGTTAAAGAAAGAATGTCTGGTACAAGTGGAAGTAGGAAGCCTATAATGGATGAAATTATGCATAAGTGGGAGAGTTTGAAGTGTGAATAGTACAATAACGTACCAATGTATAATCTTATGCATATGCGGGATCAAATAAAGGTTGATTGGGAGAGAATCAAACCACAGTTTTTTACCAATGAATCATTTCAGAACAGGCTTAACCTGGAGCATAGTTGTGGAGGTTATTCAATCTCGTTTGACAAGGTCGTGCAACAGTTTGATAGTTTTAAGTTTCCCATCTGGAACGACTATGCCAAGCTACAAACAACCTGAAGACTCTTCTTTCTCTTATGGACAGAGTAATAGTTGAACAAAGTCAGTTGCATGATGAATTCAACAAGTTGAAGATTGATCTCGCTGGACTCTGTGGTCTTTTGCCCGAGTACCCTATAGTTATCTCTGATACTGATGATGATGAGATATTTTGAGAAATTGAGGAGTACTGTTCTGATGATGGTGATGATGCTTAGTTTTTTTAATCCCTTTTTTATGCTTTTATGATGTGCTTTTTTGTTTACTTCAGCATATTCATTAGAGAATATGCTGAAGTTATTAAGTTCATTTTCTATAACTTCAGCCTAGAGATGCTGATGTTTTTATTTGTACATGCGTTTCTTTTGTGTGTTGTCCGCGTATGTGTGTGTATGTATGTGTGTGTATATGTGTGTGTGTGTTGTTAAGGATATGTATTTCACATACTGTAAGCCTGAAGTTTTTTCTCGCTGAAGTCATTGCGTACTTTTTTAAAATGCAACCAAACCTGTTAGCCTACACAACAAAAATGAATGGTTTGTACTTTAGTAGTATATAACATAGTCCAAGAGCTTATTTTTTTATTCCTATGAAAAAATCACATTTCAAATATGTCATACAATAATGAAAGTCTAAATTCAGACCAAGGATTATTGAATGTTGGAGTATTTTTCAGTGTGTTTCTTGAAATATGGATGAGGTGCTGGAGAAGGCAAGCAAGTTGTTCTATTATGCCCAACTTGTTTACATCGACTGCATTTGGTAGACTTCAATTGTACTGATTCAGTCACAGGGATATGCCTCTTCTTTTGTCTTCTTCCTTGTAAAATCTCTACATCGGGATGTTTTGTGATCTCAGATTCTACAGTTTGTGGAATATCCCATGATTTTTGATCTCCCACAATATTCACATGTCCTTCATATGTTTTGAACCACGTTTCCTTTGAATACCATTTTGAGAAATAAACAGATTTCTGAAAATATCTCTTATTAATAGCAGCAATTGCATGTGGACAGGGCAATTCATCAAGTTGGAATTCTAAGCAGTCACAAGTTCTCTTCTTTAAATCCACAATGAATTTGATTCCTTCACTATTTATTTTAAACAACATTAAATCAAGGTTGGACACCTAAGAAGTAATAAAAAATTAAGATAAACTATATTAGTGTATTGTTGCTTCAAAAAGAAAAAGTATGAAGTTTTTTAAATGTAAGCAGTAAATCACTGCAACAGATATAAATAGCTGAAATAAATCCTGAAATTAATAAATGTGCTCACAAACATTTTGCAAGCAAAGTCCATCTTCTTAGTCATCTCTTCTTCTGCCCATATTGATACTTTGTGAAAAGTTTCATTTACTTTTTTCTCCATTCGTAAAACCACTCTCCTAACTTTTCTTGGATGAAATCTAACATTCTTAAAATAGGCATCTCTCTCACTTTTAGTAAAACGGAATTGATTGATTCTACCATGTTTTTTGTTAGCATATCATAACGTCGCCGTGGGAACCACGATTGAGCCCATCTCTCTGGAGGCTCTTCCATTATGTAAATGTATGTTTTCTTGTCAACACTTTTGAGTTGGGACATTAACTGATTAAAAACTTCAAGCTTGTATGACCTTGCAGCACTTTGAAAAGGATTTATTACCGTGGCTTTTGCATGTCTTTGCTTTAAATTTTTCTCAAAGTGATAGAGGCAGATACCATGGTGAGCTTCAGGATAAACGTTTCTAATCCCATTTGTGATCGATTGGTTTCTATATGACAAGAAAACCAGTTCACGACGGACTTGAATTGCTTTTCTCATTTCCCCGAAGAACGAAATGTATGCCTCATTATTTTCTGGATCTGCTACACTAAAAGATAGATGAAAGATTTGATTGTTTGCATCCTTTGATACAACAACAAATAGAACACCATGATATTTTGACTTTAAAACCATTGCATCTACTGCAATAATGGGTCTACAGTAGGACCAACCAGCTATTGATACCGCAGGATCAAAGAACATGTAAGCAAATCTGTACAGTGAAACACAAAAAAACAAATCATAAGGTGTGAAGTTTTCCAAATAGGAACATTTGAAACTTCAAGTTGATGGTTAGTATTGTTTTGCTTACCTATTCTGCTCATCTCTTTTTATGCTTATGTACGTTCCTGGGTTTCTGTGCACCATCATGTGTAGTGTCATGGGCGGTTTTCCAGCCATGCCCCATGACCCCTTGGGCGCGCCCCGTGGTGTTCTAGCAAGCCTCCTAATGCCTAGCGCCACAGATGGCCCCGTGGTCTTGGCCGCGCCAAGTGACAAGCGCGCATGTGCCTTTGTCGCCCCACCGATATCCCTCGCCAGTGCCCAACCGCAGGCGGGTGCCAACAGCGTCGTGCGTACAGACAACGCTGCGCGTGCAGACCCTAATGCCAAAGACTACAATGCGGACAACAGACCTGTTTCTGTCTTGTAGAAAACTAAGTCCTTTTCATTATAAATATAGAGTAGTTTTATTCCATGTACTTCCATTATGTTTCTCTAGTTTAATCAAGTCTAGTCTTGTAGCTTTGGTTTATTTTTTTTAAGTATTATTAGGGGGGATCAAGCAATCAAACATTCTAGCAAGCAAACAATTCTTTGTACTGGTGTCTCTCCCCCTCGACACCGCGTTGCCTTTCTGTAATAGTTTTCATTAATGCAATCAAGTTTTCTATTCTCTCAATTGCTCTTGATATTGGTTTTCCCGTATGGCACTAACAATCTAGTCTAGCGTATGGAGGGGACCTCAGTTGGTAGAAAGTAACTGCACTGACATCAGTTGCTTAGCCTTACATCGCCCTTCCAAGGAATCTTAGGAAGGTGCCGCATAACAGTTGGTATCAGAGCCTAGGCTCGACATCGGACGAGGGAATGCATTGCCATTACTACCATTTCTGACCATGGTGAATCATGGGGACCGCATTGCGGCCCTTGAATAGACGGTTGACGGATTACGTCCCATTGTGGATACGGTGCCCGAACTAAGAACTAGCGTAGGGCAAAGGTTAGACGACCTGGACCACAGGGTGCTCCAGGCCGATGTTGGCATAGAAAACATCAGTCGCGACTCCGAAGGAGATCGGCAAACGACAGTCATAGAGGCAGCTAAAATTTTCGGCAAATTCGAGGGACTCCAACAGAAGCGTGCCGAGGATTTAGCAATAGGGCACAAGAGGTAGACAGGGTGACTGCCATGCAACAAACTATTGACGACTTGACAGACAAACTCAATGTCATCAATGCTGCTTTGCAGAGCGTGCTTCGAGGTGGTGGAAACAAAATCGGGGGCGCTGCGAACCCCGCTTCCGCGACACAAAAACTAAAAATTCCTGAGCCAAAGCCATACAGTAGAGCTAGGAATGCCAAGGAAGTGGAAAACTTCATCTTTGACATCGAACAATACTTTGATGCTGTTGGAGTCCTAGAAGAAGATAAGAAGGTAGCAACTGCTGCCATGCATCTTCAGGGTGATGCTAAACTCTGGTGGCAAGTGAAGTACGAAGCCATCAAGGTCGGTGAAGATGCTATCGAGACATGGGCAGAACTGAAGGCATCCATACACCTACAGTTCTTCCCCGAAAATGTTGAATACAATGCAAGGAGAAAGCTATGGGAGCTCCGCCAGACCAAGTCAATACAAGACTACGTGCGGAAATTCTCCGCGCTCATGCTAAACATACGTGACATGGGGGACAAAGACAAGCTCTTCACCTTCCTAGAAGGGTTGAAACCTTATGCCCGCATGGAACTGCAAAGACAAAGGGTAGATACCCTACCCAAGGCGATCCAAGCAGCTGAATGCCTTGGGGACTATCAAGTGGAAGCTCGGAAGGATCGGCCTCAGCCACCTGTCCGAGCGGGATTCAAAGGGGGCCAACCTAGCAATGGTGGCTCTAGTAGAAGTGGGGGAGATCAGAGTGTAACCAAATCTAAGGCTCACTCCTTAGGCAGTAATAGTGCTACGTCAAACAACAATGACCGGGGGAGAAAGCCTCCTTCGGGATGCCGTCATTGCAGCGGACCATATTGGAATAATGAGTGTCCATATGCACAGATGAACGCCCATCAAGCCTTTGATGATGGGACCAATGATGACACAGACGATGCAGACCAGACCGAGCCAGTAGGTGCCTTCAATGCAATTATTGACTCCATTTCTGAGGCCTTAGCGGGAACCGGTGCTGGCATCCATAAGAAGAAGGACCCCTGCCCAAGCACCAAGAAAGGGAAAAGGAAGGAGGATGAGAGAAATCCTCCTAAACAAGAGAGGACCTTAATGTTTGTTGAGATGAAGGTAAATGGCAAGCCCATTCGGGCGATGATAGACACGGGTGCTACCTACAACTACTTCCTCGACCCAGGTGGAGCGCCTTGGTATAGTTGTAGGGAAGGGCAGAGGTGGTGTCAAGGCTATCAACTCACCTCCTCAGCTAGTGGGTGGGATAGCCAAAGAGGTACCAGTGAAGCTTGATCCTTACGAAGGAAAATTCAACCTGCGTGTGGTGATCATAAATGACTTCGAGTTGATAGTTGGATTGGAATACCTGAGGCAAACCAACACCATTCCTGTACCGTATGCTGACATGTTATTGATGATAGGAACAAACGTGACCAAGCCCTGCATTATCCCGTGCATGCCCATGAAGATGGCTAGTGAAAATATCTCGGCTTATAGTTGAAGAAGGGGGTCAAAAGACATGAACCTACATTCCTGGAAACCCTCTGCATTGAAGATGTAGAACGCTCCTTAGGTCCCATTCCTGAGTCTGTGAAGGAGCTACTACTAGAGTATGAAGATGTCATGCCACAAGACATGCCAAAGCGACTACCGCCTAGGCGCACTGTGGACCATGAAATTGAGCTGGTGCCGGGCGCGAAGCCACCCACCCGGGCGCCTTACAGAATGTCACAACCCGAACTCACCGAGCTTTAGAGACAATTGACGAAAATGCTAGACACATGGATCATCGTGCCCTCCAAATCCCCATACGGGTCCCCTGTGCTATTCCAAAAGAAACATGATGGCAGGACTATTAGGCTCTAAACAAAATTACTATGAAGAACAAGTACCCTATTCCACTAATGGCAGACTTGTTCGATAGACTGGGTGGTGCGACGGTGTTCGCCAAAATAGACCCGAAGACAGGTTATTGGCAAGTTTGGATTGCAGAGGGTGATGAACACAAGATGACCTGTGTGACAAGATATGGGTCGTACGACTTTCTGGTTATGCCATTCGGCTTGACTAATGCCCCAGCTACATTTTGCACTTTGATGAACCAAGTTTTCCGAGAGTACATTGATGAATTCGTGGTGGTCTACTTGGATGACATTGTGGTATATAGCCAAACATTAGAGGAACACCTGATTCACTTGCGGAAGGTCCTAGCTCGATTGAGGGAGCACGAACTATATGCGAAGCTATCTTAGTGCTCCTTTGCTCAAAAGCAAACTGACTTCCTCGGACATGTCATCGAGGAAGGGTGGATCAAGATGGACCAGCAAAAGATTCAGGCAATCACAGATTGGCCGCCGCCTAAGGATATCCACACCTTGAGGGCGTTCCTTGGTCTATGCAATTTCTATCGGCGATTTATGAAAAACTACTCCCTCATTGTAGTACCATTGACAGAACTCCTCAAGAAGGTCACACCTTGGTAATGGGGACCCAAGCGAGCGGAGGCCTTTAATGCATTGAAAGCAGCTATGTCTAGTAGCCCCATCTTGGCCCTTCCTGATCTGGCCAAGCCATTCGAAGTACAAACAGATGCATCTAACTATGCCCTCAGTGGAGTCTTGCTACAAGAAGGGCATCCTGTAGCGTATGAGAGTCGGAAGCTGAAAGATGCAGAGCGGCGCTATGCCGCCCATGAGAAAGAATTATTGGCTGTTGTCCACTGCTTGCACCTCTGGAGGCACTATCTACTGGGGACCCCATTTGTGGTCAAGATAGACAACACAACTGTTAGCCATTTCATGACCCAACCGAAGTTGAATGGTCGACAGGCCAGTTGGCAGGAACTCCTAGCTGAATTCTACCTCAACCTGGAGTACCGAAGTGGGAAGAACAATCATGTTGTTGATGCACTCAGTCGGAGAGCTGATCTAGCATCTGTGTGGCTTCTCGCCGTCATAAGGGGGGGAGAAGTAGCCACCTCCATCAAGGACCAGATACAGGATTTACTCATCAAGGATCCTGCTGCACAGTATTTGGTTGATTTGGTAGGACAGGGCAAGACTCGCTAGTTCTACATGGAAGATAGTTTCCTGAAAGTGAAAAGGAACCGACTCTATGTTCCTAAAGGAGGAGATATGCGAAGGACTCTTCTGGCTGAATGTCATGATACTCTGTGGGCCGGCCATCCCGGTGAGGAACACACCATGGCGTTACTTCGCCGTGCATATTATTGGCCTCAAATAGCCGATGACGTTGCTCAGTATATGAAGACTTGTCTAGTATGCCAGAAGGACAAGTCAGATTGCTTAACACAAGCGGGACTCATGGAACCACTAGCTGTCCCAAAGAGACCTTGGGAAAGCGGTTCCTTGGATTTTATCATCGGATTGCCCAAGGTCGGAGATCTCATAACTATCTTGGTTGTAGTAGATCGGTTTTCCAAGTATGCTACCTTTATTGTTGCCCATAATATATATCAGCAGAAGATAGAGCTCGACTCTTCTTCTCTCATGTCGTCAAATATTGGGGCCTGCCCAAAGACGACTCATGCTTCACTAGTAACTTTTGGACCCAACTCTTTAAGTGCCTTGGGTCAAAGCTGAGTCACAACTCAAGTTTTCATCCGCAATCTGATGGCCAGACGGAGCGGTTCAATGGTATGTTGGAGGAATATCTCCATCACTTTGTAACCAGATCGTAGAATAATTGGGTGAAGCTTCTGGATGCTGCTCAACTGTGTTTCAATTCACAAAAGAGCTCTAGTACAAACAAAAGCGCTTTTGAAATTATTACTGGACATCAACCGCTACTCCCACACATAGTCAATGCACCAAATATGTCTAAATCTCCTCGAGCTTCTAGCTTCTCAAAAGAGTGGAAGAAAAATTTGGACATAGTGTGGAGCTATCTTGTCAAGGCTCAAAAGCGGATGAAGAGGCATGTTGATCAGAATCGTCGCTTTGTTGAATACCAAGTAGGAGACAAAGTGATGGTCAAAATTCCA